GGGAACTGGTAGTTCCCCTGGTTATCTTCTGGCCTTCTATAGTTAATAATATGGTATTCATCTCCAAATGCAATAGCAACATGTAATGCTGCCTGTGTCTCACTAGAGGTCAAATTTGATTTAAGAGTAACATAACATCTTTCCAGTCTAGCTCATAGGTCTAAGTGAGGCCTCTAAATACTGCAATGTACTTATCAGGGTCATCTAGAAATTTTCCAAGATCTAAATTTATCTGTTTTAGGTCACTGAGAGAAAAAGGCACATGAACTCTAGAAGTTCCAAACTGTCCATTTACTTCTTTTAAAGGATACTATCCTTGAGGAGCTTGCATAAACTCAGCTGAGGATGGGTATATCTCTGTAGGAGTTTGGATTACAGCTGGTTTAGAAGCCCCATCCTCTAGCCTAGAAGGGTGAATAGGGGAAACCTTAGATTCAGTAATGGTGGGTGAGGCTTTGATTAAGGTTGTCTTGCCCTCAGCCTCCAAAGATTGAAGAAGAGCAGTGTCAAGCTCTAGTAGAGTGGATGCCTTAAGAATCTGAGGTATCTGGTTTCCCTGTGGCTCACATCTACATTTTGAAACTAAATAAGGACTATTTCTTAATGCAAGAAAATCTGAACATAAGGCATTTCTGAACATTTTCCTTTTTTTTTTACAGTATCTTTCTAATTGTAAAATAGCATCATAATTAATACTTCCCTCTGCATCCCATTTTGACTTTAGGGGGTAGGTAGCCCATGTACATGTGCAAAAAATATTAAAGAGCTCTTTTTCAAGGTGTAAGGGTCAAACATCTTACAATGCTTAATGATACACTCTAAAGGAGAAAGAGACTTCGACTGTGAATGTCCCATGTCTGAAATACAAAAAGAAACAGTTTGGACATCCCCTCCCTATTTCTAATTGATCTTTGTACCCACACGGTATCCCTAGAGTAGATTCCACTCCAAAGCAGGTGGATGTCATCTGGAGAGAGCAGAGGACAAAATCTGACCAGCCTATCTACCCTAGAACTGGCACGTGATTTCACCTCCCTGAAAGCTCATGAACTGTGCACTTACTCCTATTGGACATTTATAAGCATAAGTTACAAGTGGTCAGGTGACAGGAATGTCTAAAGAGGGAAGCATATCTTTGTAATAAACTATTTCTTCTTATTCTTTGGAAGTGCACACATATAAAAAAGGTGAGTTAGAAGTAGGAGAGTATTTTTCAGGCTACAAATGAGATCACCTCTACATAAAATTCCCAATTGATTGGAGGAGTTTTGCCCTGTGCCTTAGGGCAAAGAAGTTTCCAGACATCTGTGTTCTCTTCCTAATCACCTAGGCAAAGAAGTTTCCAGACATCTGTGTTCTCTTCCTAATCACCTAGGCAACTTTCTGAGCAACAGGACAAGACTATGTTTTATTTAAACTTTGAGGCTCACAGGTTAAATTTATATTTACTTCCTAGCAATCATATTCAAATATTGCTAAAAGCACATTAGTCAAGGCTGACAAGAATCTCTTTTTTACTCTTACTTAGCATATGTAAGCCACAAATGTGAATCATTTCCCTGCTAGCCACTGTGAAATGTAAATTGTTGCAAGCTGCCTCACCCTAGGTTCTGAAGGGAGAGATAGTTAAGTGGCTCAACTAAAAAGCTTATGGAGAATTTTTAGTTTACTAGCAGAGAGAGATAAGTACGATATATAAGTGGAGATTTTTCAGGGGTCAGGAGCCAGTTTCCACTGAGGAACCTTTGGGCATTCGCCAGAGAGTAGCCCTGGCCATGACCCCTCAGTTGTTCTCAGTTTCTATTGGCCCACACAACCAGAGATCAGTCTCCAAAAAGGATCCATTTGTCTCTCTGGTCAACATTCCATCAGCCACTGGCTTCAATGGGGATTCACCAAAGAGAAACCTGTCCTTTGCTTTAAAGAGTGGCATCTGCTCTAAGAGCATTGAACTAGCTGGCAGAGTAATCACTGTTTGTCAAAGTTCTACAAGGGATAGTTAAAAGCCTGAACAAGATTACCTATCACTTTATAAGTTTATAGTACCAAAAAAAAAAAAGAGAAAAAAAAATGTCGGGCATGGTGGCACATGCCTGTAATCCCAGCTCTTGGGAAGCCAAGGCAGGAGGATCCTTGAGAGTTTGACACCAGCTTGGGCCACAAAGTGAGCTCAAGGCCAGCCTGAACTACATAGCAAGACCCTGTCTCAAAAAGACCAAAAAAAAAAAAGTATATAAGTTTATAGAAAATGTTTTAAAGTTCAGAACTTATTATCAAAGCTTTTTTTGGTACATAAGTGATAACTAGACCTAGGAGAAGAGGAATGGTTGGAGATCTTCCCTTAGACTAAATGTGTTTTGGTCCCAGAAGTGTGATACTTTTGGCGATAGCTCTTTCTGGTGTCACCCAGAAGTCAGTTCTCTCCACTGTGTCTCAGGTTCAACCTCCTGAGAGAGACCTGCCCAGAACACTAAACTGGGACATGGCTTTTATGTGTGTTCTCCTGGACAGGCAAAATTCTGATGTCTCCTCTGACTCAGAGAGGCGGTGACTGTAAGGTGACTTCCCTGTCTTTGGCATTAACAAACTCTCATCTTCTATGGATTTCACTTAATTGGAACAGTCTAGAGTTCTTTTCTAATTTTACATGCCTCTAAAAAGGAAAGTATAAAGTGGTAGAAAAAGATTAAGGCCAGAGAAAGGAAACTGAAGCAGAACAGACTTGACATTTCCTCTGGAGTGTAGAGGAGGATCAGAGCCAGTCTGTCCCAGTGAAACTGTCCTCCAAATCCTAAGAACAGCCACCAACCTAATGTCCATTAACTGGTGGTTGGAGTCCTGTGTTTTATTATATAGGTATGTACAATTTCTAAATCTGAGCTAGAATTAAGAAGACTCATTTTACAGAAGTTTATATTAAAGTCCACTAGGGGACATTCTAATGTTATTCTTCTTAGTGCTATTGTCTAAATAAAATCAAGCAAAGAAAAGCAGTAAATTTAGCAACTAATTGAAATGCAACATATACCAGAGCAAAACAGGAATAAAATGTCCCATTAAAGAAATATCATAACCTTATAACCTTCCCATGTTTTAACTTAAGATTTAGCAACATTTTAACAAAAGTATAAGAGACAAAAGCATAAGCAATTATAAGCAAGGGGCAGAGACATAACAAAATTTGAAGCATAAAAATTTGTTACCAAAATGAATCCCAATCCAGAGTCTATGAAACAAAAGCACACTCTTACCTCCATCCAATGATCTCTGTGGGGACCCTCCAATTGATATAGGAGGATCAGAGAAACTGATCAAAGAAACTCCCAAACTGAATGATATCTGGGATGAGTTCTCTAAAGTCAAGGAATGAATTTTAGAAACAATGGAGGTTAAGAGCAGAATATATTTATTGAGGGAAAGAAAGCTTCTGTCCTTGGGAGGGACAGAAAGGGGCCTGAGTGGGTTGCCCCCTCAGATGCAGAGCCCCAGGACAGACACAGTTCTGGATTCCTCCAGAGAAGAGGGGAAGTTTGCCGAAAGATGCTGGGGGTGAGAGTGTGCATTTCAGTGGACAGCAACAATACCACACACACGTATTTACACACAAGCATAATATGTGTGTGCATGTGCACGACGCTGCATGCCCTACCTCCAGGTGGAGAAATGAGAGAGGGTCTCGCTATGCAGTTCAGGCTGGCCTTGGACTCACTTTGTAGCCCAGGCTGGCCTTGAACTCACAGCAATCCTCCTGCCTCAGCCTCCAAAGTGTTGAGATTACAGATGTGTGCCATCACACAGAGCCACTTGATATATCCTGCTTCTACTTTTTCCCAGTTCCCTTCCCCTTTCTTCAACCCTTCTTTCCCTTCTTATTTACAAAAGCTTTGTTTGCATTTTTCCTTCTATTCTTTTTTGCTTGTCCCTTCCTTCCTTTTCCCCTCCCCCGTCCCTAGTTCTCCTTCCCATCTGAACATGTTCTTCCTACTTCACAACATCTATTATATACAAGCTCGCCAGGGCCAGGGAGCCCAGGTATCCCTTGTTTACACTTTTGGTGACATGGGGCAGAGCCTCTCAAGCCACTTGGAGTTTGCATCTTGCCACAGCTTGCCACAGGTGTTGGACCTGGAACCACAAGACTTAATGTTTCCTCTGCTGGGTTTCAGTCTTGCCTTGGTGCCATTAGTTTATAACTCCTTTTTTCTGACTCTTTTGTGGAATGTGAATAGTCATACAGTGCCCTTGTATGTTGGCAGGGTTAATCTTTCTTTTTGATTTTTGCAGTGGCCTGCAGCTAAGAGTTTTCCTTACATCTCAGAATTAAACTTTTCAGCAATGCAGAACTTGTTAGGACTTTGGCAACTCTCAGAGGTGGCCTAAATGCAATTTTCATAAAGGGATGTGCATGTGTCCTATGGGGTGCAGTGGCAGAATGTTGTGGTCTATATGTGGATGCTCCCTCCAAAGCTTCATGCACTCAAAGATGGGGACATTTAAAAGGTAATTGGATTATGAGGGTCTTATGGCTAAATGTGGTGTAACGGGGCGGGGGATTGTTCAGAAGAGGCAGATGAATGGGACCATGACCCAGAATGGAGTATCTCCCTTTCTGGTTCCTCCCTTTATGCGCTCTGCTTCTGCGGCACTATGCCGTGTGCAAGGGACTGCTGTGCCCCTCTGCCTGGAGCAATTTGACTATGAACTGGCACATGAGCCAAAATAAGCCTCTCCTGTATGTTGCAGATGTCAGGTATTGGGTCTTGGTGATGAGAAAGTGATTAAGATGTAGAGATAGAATGAGTGCTTGTGAGACTAAAAGGCTCTTGTGTTCCATTTCATATATTATTTTGTTTGAAAATAAGGTGGAAGTTTTTGATAAAGGCAATGAGTAGATTCAGTGACTTTTTGGGTTTAGGGAGTTTTTTGCTGTACTTTTTCAAAACTCTAAAAATTAAAGTGATCAACAGCTAACATAAAGTGTACCTATTTCAATCTGGAGTCTATTCATCTCTTACTGCTTTCAAACAGTTCTTTTCAGGTCTTATGAGAATAATGTAGCACTTAGGGACAAAGATGCATCCCAGCAGCCCAGCACCGGAGGCCAAGATGGAGAAGACCTCCATGGCCACCATAACCTTCCCCTTGGTGCTGTGGTACACGGGGAGGAAGGTGACCCACACACTGCAGAACACCAGCATGCTGAACGTCAGGAACTTGGCTTCATTGAATGTGTCGGGCAGGTTCCTGGCCAGGAAAGCCACGGTGAAGCTCAGCAGTGCCAGGGAGCCCAGGTATCCCAGGACACAGTAGAAGGCAGTGAGGGAGCCCTTGTTGCACACGATGATGATGTGGCCATGTTCAGAGTGAGCATCTGTGTCAACAAAGGGAGGAGAAGTTCCCAGCCAAACTATACAAACAGTCAGCTCAATCAGGGTGCAGATGGGAATAATAAAGTTCGGCACCCCTGATATGAGAAATTGCCTCATCTTTCTCCCTGGAGCAGTGATCTTGAAGGCCAGAATCATGGTGATAGTCTTGGCCAAGACAGAGGAAACAGCCACAGTGAACACGACTCCAAATGTGGTCTGCTGCAGGATGCAGGTGGCTCTGTTGGGCCGGCCAATGAAGAGCAAGGAGCAGAGGAAGCAGCAGGTGAGGGAGATGAGCAGGGTGTAGCTGAGAGCCCGGTTATTGGCCTTGACTACTGCAGTGACTCGGTGCTTCACAAATATGCCAAGCACAACAGCTGTGAGAGCAGAGAAATACAAGGCTGTAAAGGTTAATGTCTTTCCCAAGATGTCTTCATAGCCCAGAAATGTTATGGCTTTTTGGAGACAAACTGTCTGGTCATTGCTGGCGTATTGGTGGTCTGGACATTTCACACCATATCTGGAGAGAGATTAAAAATTTCAGTAATTCTGTATTATTCATAGGTCCTCCTGGGAAGTGCATGGGGTAAGCCTAGACTAAATACCTTTTTGATGTAGATAATGAATAAAATGTTGCTGGATAGAGAATTGTTCCCAAATAATGCTGGCTATTTTCTTCATAGTTAAATACATAAAGCTGTGTCTTTTTGTTTATCTTCTGTAGTTATGATACAATTTTTCTTGTCTCACAGCAAATCTAAAAGCCTTACTGTCAGTATGCATTCAGGCTCATAGAATAAAAGACTTTAGAATGGATAATTCATAAAAACACAATTTTATCATTCACACTTCTGAAACCTGGAATGTTAAAGATCAAATGGCCACTAGATTCAATATCTAGTGAAGAATTTCTGTCTCATATGATGCCTTATTCTGTGATCTGGTATCGTAGACTGGCAAAATGAATTTCCTCAAATCTTATATGTAAGGTGACTAACTGTACTAATGATATCTCATGTAATATTCCCTACCATAATTTGAAATATTATTTTTTTTGGTCTTTTTGAGACAGGGTCTCACTAAGCAGTTCAGGCTGGTCTTAAGCTCACTTTGTGGCCCAGGCTGGTTTTGAACTTGCAACGATCCTCCTGCCTCAGCCTCCCAAGTGCTGGGATTACAGGCATGTGCCACCACACCCAACCATTTGAAATATTATAAATATCATCTATTTATGTTTATTTCACTGAAGGCAATTAATAACTTACTACCTTACTTGAGTTTTATGTTTATGTAGTAACATCATCTGTATAAACACCGTTTTTACTGCTTCCTTCTTGATACACTGTCCCTCTGATTTCCTACTTCCTGCCAATATACATTGTATGGTACATTGACCTACAATGTGTTGATAAATTGGGCATTTTTTTTTGTTCTTTTGAGACAGTGTCTCATGCAGTTCAGGCTGGCCTTGAGCTCACTTTGTAGCCCAGGCTGGCCTAGGACTCTGTAAACAGTCCTCCTGCCTCAGCCTCCCAAGTGCTAGGATTACAGTTGTGCACCATCACACCTGCTTTGGGCATTCCTACCTCATTCTTGCCTTCAACTATGAAACCTTAAGTGTGATGTTTATTTTAGCATTCTGGAAATATCCTTTATTGGATTAAAATTGTTTTCCTTCTGGGAGATGTTTTGTTTGTTTTTCATAGATAACCAAGGATGAATACTATTTAGTTTTTGCAGTTATTCAGATTGGCCTTTCTCTTTTTTTTGGTACTAGGTTATTTACTTTGTGTAAATCAATTTTGCTTATGATATCTTTACAAATATAGCTGAAGATTCTAGGGAATGATAGCAGACTGGAAGGAAATTCTGTATAATTTAATTCAAGGCTGAGAGGAACCAGCACTACAAAGAAAAAGTATTTTCCATGTGAATGTAGGGGAGAGTTCTGTGCATCAATAGAAAAGTAAAAGAAACTCTAAACTGCGCAAGCATACAGGAAAGCAATTCAGAAAAGTGCCCACAGCATCCATAACTTCAACCCTAGCTCCCTAGCTGGAAGGAAAGAAATGCAGTGATATATACAAAAAAGGTAGCTGGCTAGTGCAAGCAGTGTGTGACATTACAAGTTGGGCAGAAGTACAATAACATCTTCATGGGAAACCCATGATCCATACTCGCTGTTAGCCAGCTGGAGGATTTAGTCTGATTGTGATTCCACTGTCAGAAGACCCTGACATTGCACTGTGCTGAGTGTCAGAGGGAAGTAGGGAAGACTCATTTTTTTTTTTTTAAGGAGGAAAACTTTAACAGACAGACAACCTTTTATAAAATAGCAAAAGAACAGTACAGACAATAGAGTGTTACAAACAAAGTGGTAGGAAATTAACAATGCTTGTTGTATTACATATTGATATCTTCAAAGTGGTTTCTCAGGAAAACAGAGACATGCAATATTGATCAATCAAGGGCTCATTAACAGTTTCTTCCAGCAAAGAAATAGAAGACAGCAGATCAACTATGTTAACTACCCTGTATATACATACATACATACAAAATTTCTCCTTCTTTCCCTTCTCTTTTCCCACATCCCAGTTGCCCTTTACCCTTGAGCGTTTTCCTATCATTTCACAATGTCTATCATACTTCCAAGTTTATATTAACTCTTTCAGGGTTTACACTAGTGAGACAATGCAGTGCTTGCACATGCAGGTCTGATTTATTTCACTTATGAGTATGGTCTGTAGTTGTGACCACTTACCTATAAAAGCCTCGAGTTTATCTTTCTTTATAGCTGGGTAATATTCCATTATATAAAAGTACCACAATTTTCTTATCCAATCCTCAGTGGATGGACATTTGGGTTGCTTCCACAATTTAGCAATTAAAAATTGTGCTGCTATGAACATAGGTGCACATATATCACTGTGCTATGATATTTTTAGATCTTCTGGGAAAACACCCAGAAGGAGAATAGCTGGGTTGAATGGGACCTGTGGTCCTAGTTTTCTGAGGAAGCTCCAAACTGATTTCCACAGTGGTTTCACCAGTCTGCATTCCCACCAGCAGTGGAGAAGGGTTCCTTTTTCCCACAGCCCTGCCAGCATTTGTTATTGGTTGATTTCTTGATGATAGCCATTCTTTCTGGGGTGAGGTGGAATCTCAATGTTATTTTAATTCGCATTTCTTGAATGACTAATGATGTTGAACATTTTCTCATATATTTATTTGCCATTTGTATTTCATTATCTGAGAAATATGTATTCATCTCAGCTGCCCATTTGTGGATTGGGTCTTTGAATTTGGGGGTGCTGGTATTTTTAAATTCTTTATATGTTCTGGATAGAAGCTCTTTGTCTGAGGGAAAGTCAGGTAAGATTTTTTCCAAGTTTGTGGGTTTTCTTTTGACTCTGCTGGTGATTTCTTTAGATGTGCAGAAACTTTTCAGTAGTATGAGATCCCAGTTGTTGATATTTTGAAGTGTTTCTCATGCAGTTTCATTTTTTGTTCATGAACTCTCTATCTACCCCTATGTCTTTGAGGTTTTTACCTACTTTCTCTTCCAATAGATTTAGTGTTTCTGGTTTAATATTGAGATCTGCAATCCATTTTGACTTGAGTTTGGTGCATGGTGATAGGCTTGGGTCTATTTTCAGTCTTTGGCAGGTAATAAGCCAATTTTTCCAGCATTATTTATTAAAGAGGCTATTGTTCTTCCAGAGTCAAAGAGATATGTTTGGCTCCTTTATCAAAGATTAGGTGGCTGAGTGTTTTTGGTTGTGGCTGTTTCTTCCAGTCTGTTCCATTGATCCTCAGGTCTGTTTTTAAACCAGTAGTAGCTTGATTTTATGACAGTAGCTTTATAGTATAATTTCAGGTCAGGGATTGTGATTTCACCTGAGTCATCCTTGTTTCCCAGGATTGCTTTTGCTATTCTGGGTCTCTTCTGGTTCCAGATGAATTGAAGGCATGTTTTCTCGAGATCTGTGAGGTATGCTAATGGTAGTTTAATGGGAATTTCACTGAATCTGTACAGCAGCTTTTGGAGTATGGCCATTTTCACAATGTTGGTTCTTCCTATCCATGCAATGAATATTTTTCCATTTACTGAAATCTTCGATCTCTCTTTTCAGAGTATTGTAATTTTCATTGACTAGATCTTTGACTTCTTTTGTTAGATGGATTCCTAAGTATTTCAATTTCTTGGATGTTATTGTGAAAGGTATGGTTTCTTTAATTTCTCTCTCAGTCTGTTTGTTGTTTGTGTATAGGAATGCTATCAATTTTGGGGTCACCTATCAGTCTTACATTGTTTTTCTTTGTCTTGTCTTGTAGCTCTTGAATTGATATTTACTGCTTCTTGTTATTTTTAAGAGATCTGTCCTTTCATGATCATTAGCTGTGATGCTATACTGTCTTCAAGATCTGAAAGTCTATCTACAGCTTCATTCATATGGTTTTGCCAGCTTTTGATGGAAGATTTGATGTCCTGAATATCTCTTTGACTCTGTTTCATATGTTCTAATTCTTTCCTATATTGTTCTTTCAATGTTTGCTTCATTTTTCTATGCTCTTCTATTTTTTTATGTATGTCTTCTTTAGATGTGCTTAGCAATTCTTTCATTATTGTTGTCATTTTGTTTTTTACCTGAGAGATTATTTCTTTTCTGATTTCTTCTATGGCCTGTTGGAGTTGTTTCTTTACTTCAGTTGTGATCATTTGAGAGATTTCAGGTGTGTGACTTCCAAATTCTCCTATGTTGATGTCTCCTGGACTTTTTCTGGTGGAGTTTTGAGATTTCATTTTGCTCCTTTGTCTTGTCATTTTTGATACCAGAGGTGAAGTGCTGAGCCTTACTCTTCCTGGGCGGCTTACCAAAGGAGCATCCCTAGTTTTCCTGGGTGTTAGATTTGCCCCACAATGGCAATGGCAGGTGGGTTGCTTGGTCCATGGTCCCCAGGCAGTTAAGGGAGTGTACCCAGCTCTCTCAGGGATCAGACAAGAACTGTGATGGTGGCTGAACACAGGCCCCTGGGTCTGAGATCCCCAGGCAGCTGATGGAGCACACAAGGCACAGACGCAAAAAAGTCTAATGTTTTAATCTTCAAGCATGTAGAGTCTGGCCTTGGTAGGAGCTGTTCTTTTTATATGTGGATGTGGAGCACGCAAATGAACCTAATATATCCCAATATGTACAGCTAGAAATTTAACTCAATCCAATCATAGGTTGGACTATATTCTCAGGCTTAGTATGTTTCAAGTAAATTATAATCATACTCAGAATGTTGTGAAATTAAGCTCCATTTCTATTAGAAGAGAAAATTAGAAAATCTCATTCTAGATGTGTTTCCAATAAGCCACAAATAAGAAAAATAATTTGAGTAATTCCAAGATGATAACTGCTGTGTTCAAAATTATCAATATGGATTTTCTGTTTCTTCTCTACATTATGACTCATCACTCATAGAAACATTCCTTTTGGTGGAATAACATTGAAACTTGTTTTAAAGATTTGTTGAGCCAAGTGTGGTGGCCCATTCCTGTAATCCTAGCACTCAGAAGGCTGAGGCAGGAGGATCATTGTGAGTTCAAGGCCAGCCTGGGCCCCAGTGTGAGTTCAAGACCAGCCTGAATTGCATAGTGAGACCCTGTCTCAAAAAAGACCCCCCCAAAAGATTTGCTGTATACTTTATTTTTCCATTTCTAATAGATCCACTAAGAATTTTTTCTTATATACCTGATAGACTCAAGATAACAACACTTGCAAGAAACCCATGTCATACTCCCAATAACTTATATTGTCTTATAAAAATCTGTACAAACATTTATTGAAGCCTATGGCACTACCTTAAATTCACATCTCTGTATGTTTTCTCCCTTAATCCCCTGTGAAGTAAAGCAGGAAATTCAACCATCCTCTTGAGGGTATGCTCTACTGTAGCATATTATATACCACAGAAATGTGTATTTCTTAAACCAAGCACTATCTTTTGAGCCTCTGCTCTGTGTCAGAACCACAGTATACTTTGGGAAAGCAAATAAGCATACATGCTAGCATGTGTTAAATTCACACAGCTTACTGTTGTGTGGTCAGAAGGGGTTGGCTGGAGAAGTTATCATCCGCAATGGGTCTGGAATAATAACTCAGTGAAAATAGCTCAAGGCATAGGGAGTGTCTGCTTTTAAAAAGAAAATATTGGTTATCTCAATTAAATGGTTAACTTAATAAAAGATGAATATTTTCACTCAACTTTCTTAGAGACTCTTTCCATTTCTGTGCATGAATAAGAAGTAAAAATCATCCAGGAAAATTCGTCCTAAAGGGATATGCCCACCTGTCTCATTGGCGATCTCATTCTCTGCACAGGGGATGCAATTGTGACAGCAGGCAGCCTTCCCCTCCTGAAGAGCTTTTCTGAATCCAGGGCCACAACTTGCACTGCACACAGAGCGGGGAGTCTGATGAAAACCAGATATGTGTTGGGAACATATTGGACATAACTAATCATGTGTTAACTAACATGCTTTAGCATACTGGAAAATTAATAAACAACATGTATGTACCTAAATCCAATTAACTGATCAGATGCCAACCAAACTGACTTAATGGCATGTATGAACGTTTAGAAACATATGGCTCAATAAATTTGATCCTTTCCTATGAATCAAAATGCTAGTAGAAAATATTGGGAGCTATAAAGTGTTCTTTAATATTGTCCTTTACTAAACAATAATGTGGCACAACATCAATCATGAGATTTTGATTATTTCTGTATAGTACAAAGCCTTATGGTAAAGTCCCCTCACCTGTCTTATTCCTGTGGCCCATTCTATCATATGCTCAGATAAAGACAATTGTTGATGATTAGAAAAATGTTTAGAAAACTGTCCAACTTTCACCTTAAGACCAAGTCCTTCTGGGAAATTCCAAAAGTTGAAAATGTCATACTCTGCATCTAATTTTCCTTCCTGACTCACATTCACTAGTTTACCTGAAGGATTGTTAAATTGGATGTTCTTTAGGAAGGGGTGTAGCTAAAAGACAAAAGTGTCAAAACAGAAAACACATTAGAGAATGACTCTCATTTTCTTTAATTTCTTTGACAAATGAAAGTATATTACAGACAAGCTACAGAGTGAAACTAATGAAAATATATAGAGAATTAAAATAATGTACTGCTCTTAATATATCAGTCATTCTGATGAGAAAATCCTCAGACATGCAAATTAAATAAGCACTTGTCTTTTAATTAGATTAATTTCAGACCAATTTTCTCTTTGGTCATTTTCAAAGTATCAATCCACAGATTGAGGTTATCAGTAGCTAACATCTACAGTCATGTAAAGTACCCAGTATAATGCTCAACACTATTTAGATATTTACAGAACTAATTAAATTTTGTTGTTCATATGTTTGTCATTTAAGAACTTCATGGAAGACTTAATTTTTGTCATTTAAATCATTAAATGGTAGAGCGATGAGATCCATTGTAACATAAATATTAATCTTGACTCCTTTTTATTTTAAAGAGAGGAAAAAAATAGAAACAATGATACAGAATTTCAAAACAAGATAGTAGGAAATTAACAATGGTTAATATATTTCATATTGTTATCTTCAAAGTAGTTGCTCAGATTATAAGATACAGGCATGCAAAACTGATCAAACAATATAAGCACAACTTAACAGCTTTCTTCCATCCCACCAGCAATTTTTGCTTGAGTTTTAATCAGGCCTAGATTTAACTACTTGGTCACTAATGAACTACATAAATAGTTGTGTTTTGTGAAAGGATCTAAACTGTTTGGTTTTTGCATATGAAGAACCCATTTAAAAAGTCATTTTGATTTTAGTATGTACCATCCAGTGGAAGAGACATTACCTGCTGTGGGGAAAAGATCAGTCCTTTCCTATTTCTCACTGGTTCTGTATTTACTTGTTGAAGAAGCATCTCGTGGAGGGCGTGGGCCACAGCATACACAACACTGTATATGTTGTAACTTCCATCACTCATAGCCATGTCAAACTGGTACCAAGTTAACCATTCCAAGGAGCCATAGGATGAACAATTCTTCAATGTTTCACAGTTAGAATTTGTAACTGAACAATTAAAATACATCCACCACATCCTAGCAAGGTAGAAATCTTCTGGGTATTTGGAAGGGTTTGCTCTCCAGATGAAATCTTTGAAGCCCAGAATCTCATTGTGGTGGTGTGAAAAAATGAGAGCCCCATGGAATGAGTCAAGGACAAAATATCTCTTACTGGTGGTTACATCCCATTGTGAGGTAGTCACCCAGATCTTGTGTGTGGTAAAATATTCCCATCTTTTAAAACTCATGCCTAGTACAGAGTCAGTGTCCCCCCAGATTACAATAATATTTGCTGTTGATATCATGATGTTGTTATAATAGAAGGAGGTTCTCATCAGATATTTTGAAGCAGAGACTGGGATCATATTCACAAAAGCTATACAGATGCTGCTTCTTTCCATCTCTCCTCTCAAGTCTGAGCGAAATTGAATACCTTTATCATCTTCTGAAATGATTAGCCCCACCCAGTTCCAGCTGAAATGGAGCATCAAAGTGACCATGGCATGGGCCAGATATGTGTCCTTGGGGGCCATCTGATAGACAGAAGGAAGCTGGACATTGTTGCTCAGAGTAGGATAAAAGGGTCCAAAGGTAAACTACAGGGGAAAGAGGATTGGAAACACTATAAGGCAGAGGGTTCATGTTCTACACTATATCAGCCCTGTGGTGTAATAGGTAGCATCTTGAAAGGGTAGAAGATTTACTCATCTTGTTTCTCTAATCATCTCCTTCTTCCTCAAAATATCCTACCACACATCTGCTTAGAACTCGAGTTCAAGGAAATTACTTAACTGTTTTCTCCACTTCCTGCACCCTACTAAAAGACAGGAAATTTGGATAAATCATCAGTCTTTGAATACCTACCCACTGAAACAGTATACTTCAATACATTCATACTCACAATCTTCTCTCCTCACTCTTATTTAGCAAAGCTTTTATTCTGCTGTCTCATCTACCCTCACCTGGGGAAATCTGTAGAGCTCCAGTAGTGTCCCAATATGAGCAGATGTTTCCCACTTTGTGCCTGTGAGCACGGCTACAGACTTGCTTTCTCTCTTGCAGGTGTAATTAGGGATTGTCTTGTCCAGTCCTGTGAGCCAACTGAGTGAATTCTTCAGTGTTTCCTGTTGATCATAGAGGATATTATAGAGATCAAATCCCAGAGTCACGTTAGATAAAAGATGTGAGTTCTTGTTGATCTCCTCGATGGCAAAAACTAAAGCGAGGATACACTGGTAGTTCTTGGAATTTAAACTACATAGAAGAGATAGAGTTCATTAGAGTTAGGACTCTAGCCATGACATGCTCAAAGCAAATCCAGTGACTACAAAGAATGAATGTTTTTTTCTCCCAAATTTCTGTGTTGAATCATTAATCCCTAAATAATTGTATTAGCATATGTGATTGTTAGGTGGTACATACCGTCTGATAAATTTTGTGGGGTTAATCCTTCATCAGTACAATCAGTGTTCTTTTGAAAGTTCAGAGAGAGCTTGTTTCATCTCTCTACCACACAGTGACAGACACAGGAATATCTACTATCCCGGAGCCAGGAAGCAAGTCCCCACCAGACTAAATCTGGTCAGGATTTCTTCTGTCACACTCCTCAAATGTGAAAGTTGTTTAAGCCATTTAGCTTATGGTATATTGTTACATTATGTCTAAGACATTAACCTTGTTAAAGATGTATCTTTAGTGTGATCAATCTATGTGTTTTATTGTTTCTAAGAAGTTGTAGAAGACCTTCAAATTTATATGTAAAGAACATAACATTTTTTCTTCTTATTTTATCCTTTCTTCCTTCTTGTCTTCTTTTCCATTTCTACTGCAGGCTACATGACCTCAAAATCATATAATATAGAAAATGACAATACCCTTATTATGATGACAGTCCTAAACTTACCTCTAATATTTGCCACAAAATACTTTAATTTTATTATTATTTTCCTCTTGCTCTAATATACTAATGCATTTTTGGAAATAAAAGCCACCATTCTATAGTTTTAGTAGTGCTCTTTCTATTTACAAAATATAGTAATTCTTTATAATGGAAAATTAATTAAATTTTGACAATGAGCTGCATTTAACAATTCTAAATGGGAAATAATAATAGGGAGAATGATACAGAATAAGCTCATTTTTGTAATATATTTATATCATTATGAAGAAAAATAAAATATACCATCTGGACCATGTTATGACTTTGGTAAGCCTGGGGGCTTTGAGCCTATATCAGCCCTTTACTATATGGAAATGCACAAAAATTATAATTTCATGTGAAGTTGGTAATAAGATAAACTGTTTTATATTGGAAAATATTTTTATTGTCTCAGAAGTCATTTTTTGTATGACTTTAGAAGAAATTAAGATATTTCCTTGGGCCCCTAGAATCTTGTCTCACATACAAGTCATGTAGACATAGAAATGGTAACTGTAAGAGCTCTGCTCAGACACAGGCACGGTTTTGAGGGCACAGCTCTGGTGAGAGCCGTCTGTTGAGGGACACTGATTTCTGAGTAGGTAAGAATGCAGATCTGAGGATAAGAAGAGTTACAGGCAGCCTTTCCTCACTGCTTATAATGAGCAAAGAAGACTCCTGCCAGTGTCCTGCTGAGCCTACTTAGAATGTGAGATAACCCAGGCTTCCTCCCTGACAAAGGTTTGCTCTTCCATCAAATTCTGCTGAGGCTCCTGAATTCAGTTCCAACCAGCTTTACTTTTAGTCCGTCTGTGATCATCTCCTTACTGTTTTCAGCCATCAGTTCCTGGATCTAAATCCAAGAGTCTGTGCATTTGATTCTACTAAATAACAATCAGCAGCAACCACAGACTCCAAGTGCGTATGCCAAACACATTGGTAAAATATGCCAGTACAATTTGGAGAAATAGAGGCAGAAAAACACAGGAAAACATGGGGAAAATGTCTAGGAATACAAAAGATATGCAGAGGAACAGCCACACATGGAAAGTAACATGAGATACCTCCAGATGTCTTCTAGAGCAGTGAAGACTCCCCTATTACTGAGCTGGCCAACAGTTCTCCCAAATGTGCACCACTGCCATGGCTACTCTATGTCCTTGTGACAAGGGATGTGACAGGTCATTGATTTTGGTGACATTCTTTTTCTTACAGGACACAAAGGTCTTTCTCAATGCCCCGAAACTTCTTCATTCACCCGCTAATTACTCTTCAGCTACACACCTTACCTTTTATGATATCAAAGCAATGTGATTGTGCATGCATCCAGGGAAGCAGCCTCACAGCGGAGAGCACAAGCATCTCAAGGATGCCCAAGCTCATATGCTTGGCCTGGCTGCAGCTCCAGGAGGCATGAAGCACTGTAAGCATGAGAAAATGATGTAGATTATTTAAAAGAAGAAATACTTCCTGTAAGAAGTTGGCTCAAGCAGACAGGGCTTAAAAACATTGCACAGTCTATAGAGATACTAGGAATTACATGCTAATGGAAGAAATATTAGCAGACTCTGGACTTTGTGGAAGGAAAACTTTATGGCAGCCCTTAGCACTGAGCTTATGTTGGCAGCCTGGACTGTGTTTCTGAGGGTCATAATCTGGCCCCGTGCAAATAGCTGCTGTCATGAGGAAGCACAGAAGAACTGAACGAACAAAGACAGCCTTGTCATTCTCAACTTCCAGCTTCCAGGGGAAACAGGAGGCAGAAAAAACAAAGCACTTGCTTTTCCCTATGCAAGTGGGGAAACACTCAGGAAAAAAAGGCAAAATAAGTTACACTTAGGCCCTGCATGGTAGGGTTGGAAAGAACAAAACAGGAGATGGACAGAGTATTGGTCTATCTACCCACACAGCTGTTATGCTTTATATTATGATAATCAAACAGAAAATCAGTACTTGAAAATGGCACTTACCCCAGGGAAAATATTTTCTTAGTTTGCTTAGTGTCCTGGGAAGCTTGCTGCGTGTAAAGGGGGAAGAACCCACCAATTACCATATCTCCACTTTTGTAATTACCCACCAATTACCATATCTCCACTCATTGTGAGGTGAAAGGGTCCTAAAGGGCCCATGACAGTTCAGGACTATCCAGAAATGTGGGTCACTCTGGAAATGTCCAAGTCAGAATCATCAGCCTCACATAGACAAGGTTGAGGACAAGGCCGGAAAACTTCCTCTGTGGGCTACACGTATCTGCACAGCACTCATGTGGGCAGAATGCCTCCCAAACGCATGAATTCCCTGTGGCCTGGAGAGCCAATAAGCACGTGGAATGCAGACTTTACAAGTCAGTCCCTCAATATCAATGCAAAAGGAAAGTTCCATATATGACTTTTTATAGTTTTTTAAATTTAAAAAATAAAAGAATGAAAACATTAGCAAACAGACATCCATTTACAAAATAGCACAAGAACAATACAAGCAATACTGAATTACAGACAAGGTGACAGGAAATTAACAATGGTTGTTGTATTACACATTGATATCTTCAAAGTGGTCACTCAGGAAAACAAATATAGACATGCAAGATGGATCAAATAATTAATCATTAAATGTTCCTTTCAATAAAGCAATAGAAGTCAGTATTACAACTATGTTAGCTATCCTGAATAAACATATGTACATAATTTTCCCCTTCTTTCTTTTCTCTTTTCCCTCATCCCAGTTGTTCTTTACTTTTGAGCATTTTCCTTTTGTTTCACAAAGTCTATCATACCTCCTAATTTTTATTCACTCTTCTTCTTATGCTAGTGAGACAATACATTGCTTACACATGCAAGTCTAATTTATTTCACTTATGAGTATGGCCTGTAGTTGTGACCATTTACCTATAAAAGCCTTGAGTTTATCTTTCTTTATAGCTGAGTAATATTACATTGTATAAAAGTACCACAATTTTCTTTTTATCCATTCCTTGGTGGATGGACATTTGTGTTGCTTCCACAATTCAGCAATTACAAATTGTGCCTACTATAAGCATGGGTGCACATATATCGCTGTGATATGATGTTTTCAGATCCTCTGGGGAGATACCCAGAAGGGGGATAGCTGGGTTGAATGAGACCTCTAGACCTAGCTCGCTGAGGAATCTCCAAACTGATTTCCCCAGTCTGCATTCCCACCAGCAGTGGAGAAGAGTTCCTATTTCTCCATAGCCTCGCCAGTGTTTGTTATTGGTTGATTTCTTAATGCTAGCCATTCTTACTGGGGTGAGATGAAACCTCACTGTTATTTAAATTTGCATTTCTTGAATGACTAATGATGTTGAACATTTTCTCATGTATTTATTTGCCATTTATATTTCTTTACCTGAGAATTGAGTATTTATCTCAGATGACATTTTAGGATTCAGTATTTGAATTTGTGGGGTTGATGTTTTTTAATCCTTTATATGTTCAAGATAGAAGACCTTTGTCCGAGGGACAATCAGCTAAATTTTTTTCCAAATTTGTGGGTTTTCTTTTGACTCTGCTGGTGATTTCTTTAGATGTGTGAAAACTGTTCAGTAAGATGAGATCCCAGTTGTCGATTCTTTGAAGTATTTCCCATGTGGTTTGGTTTTTGTTCATAAACTCTCTGCCTACCCCTATGTCTTCAAGATTTTTACCTATTTTCTCTTCCAATATATTTAATGTTTCTGTTTTAATATCGAGATCTGTGATCCATTTTGACTTGAGTTTGGTGCATGGTGATAGGCTTGGGTCTATTTTCAGTCTTTGGCAGATGACAAGTCAATTTTTCCAGCACTGTTTATCATAGAGGCTATCTTTCTTCCAGTGAGTTTGTGTCTCCCCTTTGTCAAAGATTAGGTGGCTGAGTGTGTTTGTGATTGTGGCTATTTCTTCATTTCCTATCCTTATTCCTTCTATTTCTCTCTTGTCTAATTGCTCTGGCTAATGCTTCCAGAACTATGTTGAATAGGAGTGTTTGAATAGGAGTGTTTGAATAGGAGTGGTAACAGTGGACATTTTTGTCTTGTTCCTGATTTTAAAGTGAAAGGTTTTAGTTTTTGTCCATTTAGTATGATATTGGCTGTTGGTTTGTCATAGATGGTTTGATCTGATTGAGGTAAAGATCATCTATTTTTAATTTCTGTAGGATTTTTATCATGAACGCATGTTGGACTTTTCCAAAACCTTTTTCTGCAGCTATTGAGATGATCATGTGGTTTTTGTCTTTGGTTCTATTGATATGGTGTAATATTTATTGATTTATGAATATTGAACTATCCCTGCATTCCTGGAATGAATCTGACTTGGTCATGGTACATTATTTTCTTGATGATTTGCTGCACTCTATTTGCTAGTATTTTATTGAGTATCTTTGCATCTATGTTCATTAAGAAGATTTGCCTGTAGTTCTCTTCCCTGTTTGGGTCTTTCTCTGGTTTTGGTATCAGTATAACACTTGCCTCCAGAAATGTGTTAGGGAGAATTGCTTCCTTTTCAATTTTGTTGAAGAATTTGAGGTGTGTTGGCATTAACTCTTTTCTGAATTTTTTGTAGAATTCAGCTGTGAATCCATCAGGACCTGGGCTTTTCTTTGTTGGTAAGTTTTTAATCACATTTTCAATTTCAATAATTGATATTGGGTTATTCAGGATTTTTGTTTCTTCTTGAATCAAATTTGGTAATTCATACATCTCTAGGAATGTGGCCATTTTTTCTGAGTTTTCTATCCTATGGGAGTAAAGATTTTCAAAGTAGGTATTAATGATCTTTTGAATTTCTATAGGGTCTGTAGTGATTTCACCCTTTTCTTTTCTTTCTTTCTTTTTTTTTTTTCTGGTACTAGGGATCAAACTCATGACCTTGCACTTGCCAGGCAGGTGCTGTGCCTCTGAGCTAAATCCCCAGCCCCCTGATTTCACCCTTTTCATTCCTTATTGTATGAATTTGAGTTTTTTCCTTTCTTTTTTGATAAGGTTGTTTAGGGGTTTATCAATTTTATTTATTCTTTTGAAGAACAAACCCTTTGATTCATTTATTTTTTGTAGTGTTTTCTTTGTCTCAATTGCATTACTTTCTGTCCTGATCTTTATAATCTCCTCCCTTCTCTGGGCTTGGGTTTGACTTGTTCTTCTTTTTCTACAAGTTTGAGGTGCAGCATTAGGCTATTTGTTCTCTTTCTGTTTTCCTTATGTGTGAGTTCATTGCTATAAATTTCCCTCTGAGGACTGCTTTCATTACATCCCACAGATGCCAGTAAATTGTACTTATACTTTCACTTGTTTATAGCTATTTTAAAATTTCTTCTGTAACCCATTGGTTGTTCAGGAGGTTGTTATTTAATTTCCAAGTGTTTATGGAGTTTTTGGAGTTCCTTTTGTCATTAATTTCCAATTTCATTGCACTGTAGTCAGATAGTATGCATGGGATAATTTCAATTCTTTTGCATTTAGTTAGGTATGCTCTATGGGCTAGAATGTGGTCTATTTTAGAGAAAGTCCTATGTGCATCTGAAAAAAGTGTGTACTCTGACGTTGTGGGGTGGAACACTAGGTATGCATTTCTAAGTCCATTTGTTCACAGATTAGGTTCAGGTCTGTTATTTCTTTGCTGAGCTTTGTCCGGTTGACTTATCTCTTTGTGTTAAAGTGGTGTTGTGGTCCCCTATTATAGTAGTGTTATTGATTATTTGGCTTTTCATGTCTGTTAAGATTTGTCTTATATAGTTTGGTGCTCCCATATTTGGTGTATACATGTTTATGATTGTTATCTCATCCTCTTGCAGTTTTTGCCTAACAAGTATGTAGTGACCTTCTTTATATCTTTTGACCATTTTTGGTTTGAAGTTTACATTGTCTGCAAACAGAATAGCTACACCTGCGTTTTTCTGGGTTCCTGTTGCATGGAGGATTGTTTTCCATCCTTTGACTTTCAATCTATGGATTTCCTTTTGAGTAAAATGTGTTTCCTGTATACAGTGTATCATTGGATTTTACTTCTTAATCTACTCTGCCAGTCTGTTTCTTTTGACTGGTGAATTGAGGCTGTTTACATTAATGGTTATAACTGATATGTGTTCGCTTATCTTTGTCATTTTATTTTATTATTTTATTTTATTTTTTGGTACCAGGAATCAAACTCAGGACCTTGCACTTGCCAGGCAGGTGCTGTGCCACTGAGCTATCTCCCGTGCCCTTGTCGTGTTATTTACTTGCTGTTGGTTTCCTATTTTTTCTACCTGTTTAATTG